CTGCAGCAAGCTAAAATAAGTTTTAGACACAAATTTTGGATTGGGCCCTATCCATCATTGCAAAAGCATTAGCATATAAAACTGTAACGCACCGGTCCAAACCTAAGCTTTCTGCTGTCTTTCATGGCAATCCCTGGGAAGGGAAACGATCCTGAATCATTGTTAAGAGACCATGGGTTCACATATACACTAAATATAGAGGGATTTCAAGGCATTGGGTCCACCAAAAATATCACGTATCTTGGCTTCGACCTTCCGTATCGTCATGAACTGTTCCCTGACAAATACAGTTTGGGAAGAAATATCATAAAGACCGCATCAGAAAGTAACAGGGTGATGGTGATGAGTGAATGTGTAGGACATGTCATGCCATGCACGTTCACACGTCACTGTTGGGGTGGGTGCTGATGGCGCAGTGGTTAACGCGTCTGCGTTAACCACTGCACCATTAACGCGTCTGCGTTAACCACCGCGCCATTAACGCGTCTGCGTTAACCACTGCGCCATTAACGCATCTGTGTTAACTGCTGCACGAAACCAGCGGCACGGGGTTCCATTCCTCGCGGCGCCTGCTCTTCCTGCCAGGATGAGAGGTAGGAGATGCCACGCAAGCCTCAGCAGCTCAGTACATCATGAAGACCCAGTGACCACAATGACACATCATCAGCTGTTTATGGTGGGGTGGTGGTGATATAACACTTAGGATGTTCAGCTCTGAACCTGTTGGTTTTGGACTCAGCCATCACGCCACCACCGCATCCCACATGACAGCCTTATACATGGTGTTGGGGTCCCAAAATGGCCCTGACGGTCAGTGAGATGTAAAGTCCCATTTGTTATCATTATGGCTATTCACTGTGAGCTTCAGTGTTGTATTCTGTATGACTGATTCCAGATAGCAATTGTTCTGTTAGCTTTGAGTTACTTTCTTGTAGAAAGCCCAAGCACCTCAATTTTGTCAGGTAATGTTTGGGTTTTGATTCACAACACTTGGGTGCTTGAGTGAAACACACAAAAATTGGATGCTTAGGTGAAACCTTGAAAAATCTTGAGAAACTCTTGGTACTTTTAACAACAAGGGATGGATGGGAAGTTTTGGACAGTGTAATATTACCCTCAGATGTGGCTGCACATCAGCACTTAGTGTCTAAAAACAAGTTAGAACTGCCAAGCTGGATACTGCTTGCATTATGTCATGACCAATACCACACCCAAGGTTTTTTATATGTTTGGTACAATCAATGGCCTGACCAGATGTGCACATTGGGTAAGAATTACTCCTTGAGTCAGGCTTTGGAAGTTTGATGGCAGGAATTCCCCATCAAGGAAGGTAAGCCACTTTGGGGCAGCTAGAGGTCCCTTAGGGCAGGTGTCAAACTGAGGCAAATACCTGGTAAAACTGGAAAACACACATAAGTGTGAAAAGACAAATGAATGATAATTCAAATACCAAGAGCAGCCCAAATGCACCATATTTGTCTCAACTGCATCATAGTGTTTTGATTGCCACCACACCATCCTTTCTGGTCCTATATGTGGCTGCTCATTCCACCACTGCAGGCATAGATTCACTAGTAAAATTAAAGCCCATGAACATACATATTATATAGGCACATAGTTTTTGCTCACACCTATTTCTGTTCCTTATGCTCCACAGGCAAACCAACCACAAACAGTTCCATGCCAGACAGGTTAGATGTCTCCCAACTGGTTGCATTGCCCAAATGGGTCAAATCTCCCAAATGGCACAATGGCATAGTGCCAACTCCCAAATTGCCATCTTATATTGTTCACATTACAAAATGTTTGATGCATCTTGAAATGCTGCTTATTTGCCAATCATATGAACATTGGATGGTAAAATAAAACTTGAAATAAAAGTTAGTGTGATTTTGCTCCTTTGGTAGCATATCAGCCAAGGTAATAAGCACTCAGTAAGCACAAATAAGATGGTCAGGGAAGCCTTGGAAACACACCTGGCCATCAAGTAATCCCTCTGCCCAAAGCCAAGAAGTTGGCTACCTAATTTGGGGCAGGATCAGATCTACCTGCACCTGCTGGATCAGCATGAATAGCCAATAGCCAAGAATGAGCAACAGACAGCCTGGATGGCAGCCAAAAAGATTGGCCACATGCAATGCTGGCCATGCACTTCCTTAGTCCGTATCAGCTAGTTATACAAGGTGTGTTTTTCGAAATGCCGAATTGTAAAAATACTTAGAGATGTATAAAAATAGAGTTGTTAACATATTTTTCTCCAAACATTGCAAGTCTGAATATTGGGATGCTTAAGACATTTTTAGAGTAACGGTTCGTTCACCTGGCAAGGGACTCTGCCACGCGAACAGCCGCTGAACGTAAGTACAGTTTTACAAATCAACACAATGAAGACAATCAAAGTCGTTTTCCCTCACACCTACAACCCATACATCACACATTTACCATAAACCAACGCGCAGCGGAACCCAGTACCTGCCGGTCAGTACGAATAGAGAGCGTGCAAGAGGAGTACCAACGTACGGCGATTTGTGCCCCACCCGCTTGGCGTTGGCGTGACGTCACTGGAGCACTCGCTCAGCAGGCCCTGCGCAGACAATGACTGTGGAACTAGAAATTCATCCCTGGCGCAGGGTAATAGATACTTGCTCTGGCTCTGCTCGCAGCCATATGGAGCCATCTGGGCTGTCCCACTTCGGTCCCATGTGGGCATGTTATGGGCAATCGACTGGGTCCCACATGGGCCCATACGGGGCCAAACTGGAACTCACATGGGGCCCACTTGGGCTGCCTGCTTGAGAACCACGCGGGCATGTTCAGCTGGGACCCATACGGGTATTTTAAGCTGGATCTATGTAACCAGCCCAGATGGGACCCATATAACTAGCTCAAATGGGATCCATATAACCAACCCGATCAGAACCCATATTACCACCCCAGATGAGCCCCAGCTGGACTTCATCGATCTACCCCCTCAAGTCCCATCTGACTGATGGCCCGCGATAATTCCAGGAAGACTATTTCACATCACAGTGATAAGCCATGTCAAACTTAATTCACAATGTATTTGTCCGAAATTATCGCGGCAACAGCACCGTTTCACAAAACTCATCCACTTTTCTGTTGTTATAATTGATTCGATAGTCATTGAACCATTCAATGAATGCTATGCGTTGCAGTTGCTGTCGTTGTTAGCCCGGTGTTTCTTGCTGTCGCCGCATGATCTCGCGAAGCGCCACGCTAAATGTGAGGAATACTAGAGCTAGTGCTACGACCCGGCTCAGCGACCGGCACACCTTCGCCGAGCCACCGGACCAGGTAGGCCGCCCGACCGGCCCATACTGCAAGCCGGCGCTCAAGGTCTACGCACCGGCAGTCATCGCAAGTGTCGCTGTCACGGGCCGTTCCGGCCCGTCCCAGGGGTGGACACTCACGGCCAACGACTGCCCACCCGGGGGGGGGGGGGGGGGGGGGGGGGTTGGGGCCCGCCCGGGGGAAGACGGGATTGCGTTCGATGCTACGCGATCCACACAACCTGCAGCTTGGCACGACCAGCGCCTCGCCACTCTTGGACGTCACGGCGTCCCCTGCAGTTCGACACGGCCACCGCGTCGCCACCGCCGGACGTCACAGCGTCCCCTGCAGCTCGGCACGGCCATTGTGTCTCCACTGCCGGACGTCATGGCGTTCCCTGCTGCTCGACGCAGACACCGAATCTCTCCACGCACCGAATGGAACAGCGTCCGTGGCCGCACGACCGCGGATACAAGAGCCGCGCGTCGCCACGGAACGGCAGCCCAGCATGGCAACTGCGTCACTCATACCTGGCGAATAATTACCCGCCAGCGTCGGCCAACCCCACCATTACCGACTTCTTTTAGGCGACATAAAGGGCTAAGTTATAGGATTCGAGTAGCAAACTCTGTCTTTCGCGAGGACTCTCGAAGGCCAGTGCTGCCTGTGCTGCTGAGACTCTGCGTTTCTTCTAAACATGTGAGGACTTATGTTTTTCATCTCGGACAAGCCGGGATCAAATGTGACTGCCGACGGACAGTCGGTCGTTGTAGTTTTCCAGTGCCAATGCCACGGGACAGGTATTGATTGTATCCCTGAGTGTCGCGAGTGCTACGTCTCGCTCCTTCTTGCCAACGCGGCACGCTACCATTCATTTGAACATTTTTTCGTTCAGTGAAAATACACGATAAGCCGTGTGCTAACACTTTAACCTGAAAACCGGCTAGGTGTGAAACCATCCAGAGCGCATGGCTAAAGGACTAATGAGAACGCTAACGGTTACGAAACAGTGTACAGGAAACAATCCCAACATAAACACGAGAGTCACGATCTGGAACGAAACGGACGGAATTGCGGCGGTACTGATGCTCACGTGCGGAGAATCTGTCCACATATCCCAAGACAGTTCGCCGTTCTCGTCGCCGTCAAGACCGGGGTAATTGAGATACGCAGAAGCACAGGCTTTTAGTACAGATTTTTGCCAAATTCCGAGGAGTTAGGTACCAGGCGGTACTAAAAACTTTGACCCCTCTAAACACGTGTTGATACTAAATATTCTTGAGGCTGTGTTGTTTCATCAGATAGTATATTTATTATAAAGATGATGGTGATGATGACACGTTCATTACCAGATGGTTTTTCATTATCAAGGATGATATCAAGGATGATATTATGATACTATGATGCTTCGATGTTTTTCTTTTCTTATCAGCTGATTGTACGGTAAAAGCGGGTCCGATACCACTAAAACCTAGCTTGTTAGCTAATATATCGTCTAAAAAGCTATTTAGTATCTCAAAATAGATTGTATTATCTCAAGCGTATATTCATGCGTCAATAATTGTATCAAATACGATATCACATGTATTTGCACCAAACTTGTAAGATCAAACTCTACAATCAGCTGCTTTCAAAATGTGCATGTTGTTTTTAATGAGCCATGCTGAAATACGTGGTCCTGGAGGACGTTTCGCTCCAGGATAATGCGAGACGCCCATATTTTGTTTGTTGTTTGTTGGGTGCAGGTGGTTGTTGGACATTGATGGACGGTTATGTAGCTCTGTGCTGCTTGCTACTTGTTGAGAAGAGCCATTATCTAATGAGGCTTCCTCCAAGGTACTAAACAGCGATGTTGCTAGTGAAACTTTTTATGTGTGTTTTTGAGGTGCCATTCAGACACATAGACTACCACTGTTATCCATCTGGCTCCTCCAGATCGATTGAAAATGTACATGAAAAGCTGTCTAGATAAGATAAGTTGGATTTTGTCATGTTAGGCTGTCAGCTCGTGCTCCTGAAATATGCTGTTTCCATGACAAAATTTGCAGTGATTTAATATTGAACACTGTTGATATCAGTTTACAGAGATTGCCAGCTTCGTCATATGCCTGTGCTATGCTGGTATGCGGAAACTTGTGTTTGCACATGCCATTCTCAAAAATGAGGACAACAAGCTGAATTTGTATGCCTTTTTGTAAACAATTGTTTTCAGACTATTTTTCAGAACTCCTTTGGAACAGTAAACAGTCTTGAAACATGTGCTCTCCACCAGTGTCCAAAGGAGATGAACCAATTATAAATAAATTAATGGCAGGTTCAATTCTGCACCAGTATTGATCGTGGCATGTGTCTGATCCTGCTTCAAATGTATGTACACACTAAGGTGGAACTGGTGTACATTGAATGTGTACAAGTTGATATTGTTGTGTTAGACCTCACAATCACATGCACAGAATTCAGGCTGGGCTAATTACACACAATTTTTACATCACTATGAAAATGTTTCTGAGTTTGTTTTACAAGGAACTACATTTACAACAGCATTCCTTGAAACATTGGCTCATTCCATGCCCTGGAAGTGGTGGCCACCATGCAGCAGACTTCAAAGTTAGATTTACTATGTACCTGCAATGAGATCATTAGGAATGAGGTATTTGATAAGGTAAGAGGAATGAGGTATTTGATGAGACTAGCCAGTATGGGCAATGTGTTGTCATATGTAAAGAATATTATTAATCCTTACTTGGCAGCATTTTTGTTTTCACTAAAAGATGGCTTGCCTAGCAATGCTAGACAAATTGCAGATGACAACTTTTGGCAAATTGAAAACCAGTTATCTGGTTTATTTGTATGCTGTAATGTAAGATGTTATTTGACCTGTTTCTATTAGGTACATCTGTTGAAGAGAATGTTCAACATGTGAAGTTATTGAACCGAGCTGTAAAGATAATAAGATAAGCTCATCTGTAGCTATCAGTATACTTTTGAGTCTAAAAGGCTGCTCTAGACCACACAGTTTCTCAATTAAGTGAATGTGCTACTCAATACATCATTGATTGGTTAGGCCACCATATATTGCACAACAATGAGAGCCATTCAACAGCTGTTATATCTGAGAATTGTGCTCATGAATACTAGATATGAATGACTTGATCATTAAATATTTATTGGCATTGATTGTCACATGGTGAATGGAATGACAGGATTTCAATGATGTTGTGGTGTCATGGATGCATGAGGGATTTTTAAATGGTATCTCAAATAGCCTGGGCATCTTTTTTGGCATGTAGCTCAGAAGCTTGAAGGGCTTAGGTCTAAAGAAAATGACTTTGAGCTGCATTGACTGATCTTCAAGATGGCTGTTGACTCAAAGATGTGGCTTCAGGAGAGAGAACAGGGTGTAAGTTGATCTGCACAACTATTAAATGCTGCCATGAAACCTCTGGCTGGTAGCTGCGAGGTGGGATGTAAGCTGCAAAGCAGCACTCACATGAGGTGTGTTCAACATGGCTAGTGCTAGTGTTGTTTTCATGATTATTGTCAGACTATAACCCCATGGGTTCAACCAGCTGATGTTGATTGTCATGTTTTTGTAAGTGCAACTGTTCCATCAAATATTCATGTGAAAGTGAAGGGCCTCACATTTCAAGGGATCTTTCCAATGTAGATGGCTAATAACTTGGCCATATTTTTGTGGGCTGGTGTTCAACTGGTTTGTTTCCAATTTCTGGGAAGACACCATGGCAAAATAATGCAACTTTCTGCAGTGAGTAGAACCTAAAACATTGCTTTATATTGCCAAAGCTCTCAGATGGTATCATATAGCTAGGTTGGAGTCAACAAGACATCTTTATCATGTAATTAAAAACATTCAGCTGGCAGAAAGAGCAGAATATGCTCGAGCAAACAGACTACTGACCTGAGGCTTTAAGAATGCTGCAAGTTCAGACAGCTGCATTCATCCTAACTTGACATGAAAATTTTCATTCTCTTTGTTCTTTTTAACTGTGAAACAATGAGTAGAAACCTTTAGAATTGGTGTAAGTTTGAGCACCCATTTGTAATGTTCTGCTAGTACCTGGGTTCCAGTAGATTGGGAGAGGAAACAAACCAGACATTGTGGGAGTTGGGACAGTGACCCACTCAAAAGAATGCAAATCAGCACCTGTTGTTGTATGATGAAAAACAGTGATGTTATGGTATTGTAAGTAATTATGGTGGTACCTGTGTATCAGATGAGGTGCCGAACAGTGAGCAAATAGCATGATGCACTTTTACATTTCACATGTGACATTTTTCTATTGTAGCATTGTGGTTGTATGTGGTGTTGCAGCGAGTCATCATGCCGGTGCTGTGATGTGCCATCAGGGTGGCCAGGCCACCTCTGAGTGCCCTGTGAGCAGGCACCATGGAGCTGAAGGTGTGGGTGGACGGCATCCAGCGGATTGTGTGCGGCGTCTCGGAGACCACCAGCTGCCAGGACGTGGTCTACGCGCTGGCGCACGCCACCGGCCGCACCGGCCGCTTCACTCTCATCGAGCGATGGCGCAACAACGAGCGGCTGCTGGCGCCGCAGGAGCTCCCCGTCAAGGTGGGTCAGCGCTAGCGGAGAGGGTGACGCGCGCCGCGGCCGAGAACGGCGCCGCCGACTGGGAGTGGACGCGCCTGTTGTCGCTAGAGTACTTTTGTGAATGATTTGTCTTACTAGTGATTTGTCTACAGTTCACAGCAAGGTGTCACTGATGATGTTAGTTTTCTTTTTTTGATGCTGGCATGCCGCTGCTGGGCAAACCCGTAGACACATAGTGTTTTCTGATTTTCAGCTGTCTGTCTATTAGCACGAGAGGTCGAAGAAGGACGATCCTCTGGTGGTCTTTGACTTGGCAGCGTCGCGGTGATTTGCCGGTTTGTGATGGCGTCGTTTTCGGCTCGTGTCCTGCAGGTGCTGATGAAGTGGGGCGAGTACTCGAGCGACGTGCAGTTCATCCTGCTTCGTTCTCCGCTGGAGAAGTCGCCGGGTCGGGCGCGGCGGGCCGGCCGGCCTCGTGGCGGCGCCGACATCTCGCCGCCCAGCCCTGAGACGAGCACCACCGTGCTGTCGCCGGAACTGCAGCGGCGCCGCTCCGAGCTGCGCCTGCTCGAGCACGTGAAGCGCGGCACAGTGGGTGTGGTGCGCGGCGTGCAGCAGCGGCCGCCGGACGAGGCGTGGTCGGGCCGCGCGGCGCCCCCGCCCGGGCCGCGCCTCCCGCCGCTGGACAAGCCCAGCCTCAACGACAGCGTGTCGAGCGTCGACACCAGCTTCAACACTAGTCACGACAAGGTGCCGGGCGTGCGACCGGCGGGCGAGGCGGCGCCGTCGCCCAGCCTACGGTTCAGCACGCCGCCGCCGTACCGGGAGCCGCCGCCGCCGTTGGGGACGCGCGCCGCCGGGCCGCGCCGACCGCCGCCCTACCGCGAGCCGCCGCCGCCGCCGCCGCCGCCGCCGGGCGGCGCGCGCGGCTCGCCTGTGCTCCGCTGCCCGCCGCCGCCGCCGCCACCGGGCGCCGGCAGTACGCCCGGTACGCCCCCTCCGCCCCCGCAGCAGCCGCCGCCGCCACCGCCGCCTCCGCCACCGCCGCCGCCGCCGCCGCACTCTAGTCAGATCCTGGCCGCCCAGGAGAGCCCGTCGTCGCCTCCTGGCCACCCGGCCAAGGTAAGGCTGCGAGGGCCGCGTCATGGTGTTAAGGGTTTGCTGCCTTGGTGTCCGCAAACTAAGGCTGCTACTGTTTGTTACTTTTTGGAAGGCCGGAGCGCTGGCAAGGCACGGGCTGAAAACAAATTTGTGTGTAGTTTGGTTTGTTTGGAGTGACTAACGTGATGACCCTCTGTGCTGAAAACCTATGGGTGATGATGACCAGGTACACGAGCCATGAGGATGACTGCTGACCGTACACTTTTACTCCATGCCGTGCGGGTTTTCGGCGCCGACTACAGACGATGTCCATAATTGGTATTTCTTTCTCTCATTCCAATAAATTGTCACACGCGAACTGTTTGCAGTCGCGCCGACCAGGCCGCGGCCTCGCCAACGACTCATACAACATGGAGGAGGTGGTGTACAACAACCAGTACCGCGAGCTGCTCAGCGTCGTCAACGCCCAGAAGACCCAGCTCAGCTCGCTCCAGGCGGACGTCACCAAGGTGAGGTGTGACGTCCAGCTGGCGGTAGCCGGGCTCAGCCGCCGTCGCAACGGTATTCTTGTCTGGAAATACGAGTCTACGCGCGACCACCATTCTTTCCGCCGTCCAGGGTCGGTACCAAGTCTCCCACTGATGCGAACTTGTCAAACCCAGCCGAGGTGGATGCGCCTGTCTGGTGCCTGTGCGTAAAGTTGTACCGCTCGATCGGACGGCAGGGTCGAAGCAGGACACCAAAGCTGTGGCCAGTAAAGGATGCAGAAGTGGTTCTGGACGTTTCCGCACGGGAGCAGGACATTGTGACCATATTGACCCCGTGCCGTAACAGGGTGGGAAATTTAGTTGTTTTTGCTGGTGGCGGAGTACAATTTTTTGTGGTCGGAGTACAAACTTGCCTGCAAGCAAAGGTCTGTCTAATGTGGAATGGGTGTCTGCACAACGGGCCTTGTTTGGAGTACGTCACATACTGCCTTTAATGGGTCAACATTTTCCCAACGTTTTTCTGGCAAAAATTAGTGTCAGCATGCAATTTTGCATTTCAGTGGAACAGAGCACTCCTTGTGAGTGAGGGTGCCACACTGATCTCATCCATATCCCTGTAGTGCTACTAGCTCACCTACACATGCAAAGATCGAGTAATGGTACATGTTAATAAGAAATATACAGTTAGAGAGGATAACAACAAAACTTTATACATATACATCCACAGGTGCATCATACAAAGCTCAGTTACTTATCATTACCTATCTACATGCAAACTTACACAATATCAAAATGATAAATCAGGTGCATCCTCTGCTTACTGACAAACTGAATTGCAGACAACCACTGTGCATCACACCCCAGTTTTTTAATGAGTCTTAGGCAGCTGCAACTGACTATGAAAGCCTTATGTATGTGGCAACACTAACATGTTGTCCTTTTGGCCTTTACATAATTGATATAAATGTACCAAAAGTGTTCCTCTTCCTGTCCTTCTCTTTCTGCTCTTCTGCTCTTTCAGTTCTTCAGCCTCTCTTTCTGTCACTCTTCTCCTTCCACTCCTCTTCCACTTCTGCTCCTCCTCTCTTCCTGCACCTCCTGTTATCCCTCTCCTCTTCTCCAAGTTTCCTATGATCCTATGTAGGGAAAATTTTAATAGTGTCACTGCAATGCCTTATGCCTGACAGCAAGGAACATGGCAGCATTGCCATCTGTCGGGTTATAGCAACTATAACCACAGGCTGAAAAGAGGCCAGCCTCATATTTGATCCCACATGGGAAACCCAAGCCTAGCATTAATGTTGTATATAGATATCTTAGTACCTACGTACCTACCCACCATGCTGTAGGTAGAGCAGGTTATACCAAGGTGATTCTGTACCAGCCTGCAGCGGTAAACATTTATAGATCAGTCCCCGGTATTTATTTACCATTTTTGAAATGACTTAATAGCAGTCCAAAGCTAAATCCCAAGTAACTTTAGAAGTGTGGATGCATGCTGTGTGAAAATTGAAGACAACCAATTCCACTTGGCCTCACTGAATACCTCAAACTCGCAACTACGACGCACATAATCCCAAGCATCTTCACTCACCCTCCGCCCTCCTCACTCCCACCACATCAAGACAAACAACCAAACCATGCACAGGAGTTTTGGCGCATTCACAGACATTGTGATGGCATTCTAGCACTCGTCAATGGGGCAACCAAGTACAAGTACCACGGGTCGGTCCTGAAATGACAGGCTGTGATGAATAGTCTAAGAAAAGCCATTTATGCAGTTGCACCAACACAAGTTGTTAAGTTTGTGGTAGAAAAATCATAGAGCTTTACAGTCATGCATTTCAAGTTGCTATTTTCCACCTACAAATATGTATTATCTTCTGGTGGCGCAAGACAACGCCGAGATAATGCAGTACCTGTACTATAAATCTATAGATATTTCTCATTCTAAGGCATATCATGACATTTCAACACCCTCTGAGGAGGGCCCGTATCTGGGCGATACCAAGACACGTAAATTTTTCGATTAAATTTGGCCAACTTTGCTAAAACTTGCTGTTCTCCGGCTTGTACTCTGGCTTGTTCTCCCCGGGTCTCCCCATAGGCCCCATTGTGAGAAGGGCAACCAAGTACTGCGACTTTTTCCCACTGGGTTATGGACCATCTCTATCTTACAAGTATAGGTACTGGTTGAGCCTGGAGACATGATACCGTTGTTCAGTAAGTAAGATATCCTCGAATCTTCAAAGACCGGCATTTACCGATTCCTGAAAAAGTGGTTGACGTACTATTATTTATACAATAGTAATAAGTTTTGGAATGCTGCATGCCACAAACTCCCATTTTGGGAACGTAATTCCCGATGGCATTTAAGAACCCAAAAGAAGCCGTTACCACCAAAAGTGCCGCCCACAAAGTGATATTTGGGTGCCATTTAATGTCATGATTCTATCTCAAAAGTGCCGATATGTGGTGTGTTTGAATGCTATGATTTTGAGTTTAATTGCAAGTTGGATGGTGATTGGTGGCTCGTATGGCAGGAGCAGGAATGAAACAGGCGCTTTGAAAAGGATGTGCAATGCTGCAATCTTTGGAATTTTCCCACCAAACTGTTTGCAAGATGCACGTCCTTTGGTAAAATCGCTAACATGTTATCTTAATATGAGGTAAGTTAAGAGCATAGTTGGCATGCTGGACTTCTTGCTCGGCGAGTCTTTGAATGACCTAGTTGAAAAAGATGTGCCATCGATGATTTTGGTGCTGCCAGTGATTTTCTGGTCGAACGAATATTGTTGTAGGTGTCTGTTGCGACGCGGACCTTCACTGCTCGAAAATGCACTCGTCAGTTGCGGAGGCTGGGGTGCCGTTGGTTTCGGGTACGGGAGGCGATGGGTTCGTCGCGTGGTGGGAGCCAGAGCCGTGATATGTTTGTCCGTTTCTTGAAAGGTATCGGTAGGTGTGTGCGTCGTGGATAATGCGGTCTTACTTACTCAGGTGCGCCATATATTTTCCCCACAGGGAATGACATGCGAGGTATGTGGCGGCGGTAGCTACTTAAAACAAGCACATTTCATATTTCAGTTTATTTCATTCCCACAGAAGTAATTCACATGAGTTGTCATCACCATTCAGGAGTTGCATAGGCTTGTACAAGTGCATCTAACCCATGTAATACAATGATGAAGGACATTGACATAAATGCCCTGGATTGGCCAGCTCCTGCAGGATTGCAGATGCTTGTTTCCATTTCTTGGTGCTCCATATGTTTGGTCCCTGGAAATAGAATGAAAGTTATAACTCACTTTATGAAAGCCAAGTTCATGCACACTCCTGGCTATCAAGAAAGCAAAACTGTCTGCCTTGGTACTTATACTCAGGCTCATACATTTGCAATGGTGTCTGCTTTGTGGGGCGACTGCAGCGTTTGTCTGGAGTACAAAAATTGTCATTCTTACCAGTCAAGAGCCTGGAGTACAAAATTTCCTGGTGCCACATCCACCAGAAAACGGAGGTTTTTCCCACACTGTGCCGTAATGTGACGGGGAGACTTTACTCCAGCGGGAGCAGGGTATTGTGGCCATGTTGACCCTGTGCCACAGTGTGACCGAGAGACCCTACTTCAGCAGGAGCAGGGCATTGTGCCCATGTTGATCCTATGCCACGGTGTGACAAAGAGATTCCACTCCAGTAGGAACAGGGCATTGTGACTATGTTGACCCTGTGCCACAGTGTGACGCAGAGGTCGTATACCTGGAGGAGTTCCAGCGGGAGCAGGACACGGACTGAGTTGACCCTGTGCCACAGTTTGACGCAGAGATCATATACCTGGAGGAGTTCCAGCGGGAGCAGGACACTGTAACCGAGTTGACCCTGTGCCACAGTGTGACGCAGAGATCGTATACCTGGAGGAGTTCCAGCGGGAGCAGGATGTGCAGCTATCAGCCGTCCGCACCGAGGCCAACCGGCTGGAGACTGTGCTCGCCGAGCAACACCGGGAGGTCCGTGAGCCCGCCCCGAGTCCACACGTATAACATTGATAGTTGCAAATGACGCACCCCCTTCCCCCGCCGAATGCGTGGTATTTCGGATGTGTGGTAATTCTTGTAACGGTTTGTGCCAGTAACAATTCCATCCCAGTGTGTTACCATGTTTGTTGGTTGCGAGTTATGGAAGTTTCTATGTGCTGGGTGACCAAACTCAGCCGTGGAAGAAGCGGCGCCTGACAAGCTGCCGCCAGCTGCATTACGTATATGACTCATGGCACCACCACATAGGACTTTGAAGTGTGCAGGTCCGTGTTTGACTTCCGGCGCACGCTATCGGCGCGGAGCGCCGATGTCCTGGCACAGCCAGCAGGCTTGATGAAAGGCTTGCTTGACCACCTGCGCTGCATACGTTTTTCAGCTTGGTTTTATTTCTTTACCGTAAACGAGTTTGGCACACTTTTAGCCGTGCTGAGGAGACGGCGGCGAGATCAGCTGGTCGGCAGACGCCCAGGCGCTGCGGCTGGTCTGCCGTGACCTATTGTCGGTGCCGAGCCGGCGACTGACCCGGTCCTGGTGTCCGCCCCAGGTGTCGGAGGCGGAGGAGACGGCGTCGCTGCGGGTGGTCTGCTGTGACCTAGGGCTGGTGGCGAGCCGGCGACTGACCCGGTCCTGGTGTCCGCCCCAGGTGTCGGAGGCGGAGGAGACGGCGGCACTGCGGCTGGTCTGCCGTGACCTATGGCCGGTGCCGAGCCGGCGACTGACCCGGTCCTGGTGTCCGCCCCAGGTGTCGGAGGCGGAGGAGACGGCGGCACTGCGGCTGGTCTGCCGTGACCTATGGCCGGTGCCGAGCCGGCGACTGACCCGGTCCTGGTGTCCGCCCCAGGTGTCGGAAGCGGAGGGGACGGCGTCGCTGCGGGTGGTCTGCTGTGACCTAGGGCTGGTGGCGAGCCGGCGACTGACCCGGTCCTGGTGTCCGCCCCAGGTGTCGGAGGCGGAGGAGACGGCGCAGCAGCTGCGACGCGAGACGGAGGAGGGCGACAGGATGCGCGCTGATAGCGAACTGCTCAAGCAGAAGCTAGCCGCCTGCGAGGCCGACATCAAGAAATACGACGGCATGATGCGGTCAGTCGTGCGGGGCGTTTGTCTCGGGTTCAGGTCTGATGGATGGCGTCGGTCACGGCGTCGGGTCATCGGTCACTTCAGATCAGCCGCAGCGCGTTTGAAGGGGTTGATGGTGGTAAAGGCCGTGAATTTTGAGCGACATGTTCAAACGTTAAGGTAACCCGAGGCATATGTAAGTGGTAGAAATGCCCGGGGGTGATAAGTGCGGTATTGATTCTTAGTGGGCGGAGAGCCATGCGCGGCCTTCTTTCGTGCGTTAAGCCATGGGCCTGTTGGAGCTCGCAATGGTGGCAGTGGAGTAGACCTTTGTACACATGTGACAGTGGAGTAGACTTTGTACACATGTGACAGTGGAGTAGACCTTTGTACACATGTGGGAGTGGAGTAGACCTTTGTACACATGTGACATTGGAGTAGACCTTTGTACACCTGTGGGAGTGAAGTAGACCTTCGTACACAGGTGCGGGCTATGAGTTGGCCTGTCACATACGGTGGCCAGCTCAGACTTGGCGCACCACGGCGACACCTCTCGGGCGCAGACAGGTGTGCATGACTTCGCTGGCAGTGGGCCTCGGCGCTGACGGTCGCTGGCGGTCCCCAGAGACCTGTCGGAAGCGGTCAAGTCGGAGCAGGCGCGCGGCGAGCAGGAGGCGCGCATCACGCAGGAGGAGCTGGCCGAGCTGGGTGGCCAGCTGGAGCAGCTGCAGCAGCAGGCGGCGCGCGCTGAGACGGAGCGCGCCGCGCTCGAGGCGCAGATCGCACAGCTGGCCGAGCAGCTGCGCGAGCGGCAGCGGCGCGTCGAGCAGCTACTCGAGGAGCTGAAGACGGTCAATCTAGAGAGTCTGCGCATGGCCGGCGCCGAGGAGCTCACCAAGATCACCGAGGGTGAGTGGCGCACCAAGGAGTGCCGCCTCCGGCTCCGACTCGGCCAGGGCTTGAGGATGAGGGGCGCACCGCCTCTGGCTCCAACCCGGTCAGGGCTGGAGGGTGAGTAGTGCGCCGAGGAGTACCGCCTCCGGCTCCGGCCTGGTTAGGGCTGGAGGGTGAGGGGCGCGCCGAGGAGTACCGCCTCCGGCTCCGGCCCGGTCAGGGCTTCGTGCGAGCAGAGCGGTTTGGGAGGGGATATGTCAGTGTCAGTGGCGTAGTCTCGTAAGAAAGGGGGTGGTTTGATAGAGAAAAAGGCGTGGCATACCCCGAAATGTGCAAAAGCATGTTTCTGTCTCAGTTGTGTAGGAAACTATACTCATGAACAGCGCTGGTGTGCACATAGCATCGCGATCCGCCTGTCCGAACCTTTTGCCGCGCGTAATATCTAACGCAAGCAGAAGGAAATGGTGATAGACATGGTTAGATTTGTATTTGCTGAGCTATCTGTTTAAGTGCTGTGCTGTAATACCTTATTCTTTGTTCGTGATTAAATGGCCAGTCATGTGTCATTGGGCGTTACGACGCGCTCAGCTGCTGAGGCTATATGGCGTCGCCTGCCTTTCGCCCTGGCAGGAAGGTTGGACACCGCGTTAAATCTAACCCCGCACCTCTGGTCTCCCAGACGTGGTTACCGCAGACGCGTGAACCACCACACAATCGGCGTCCAAATGACCGTCATGCTAATTTATGGAAGAACTGGAAATTTAAGTTATTCAATGCTTGCTTTGCTGTTGTTTAGCCGACCACCACCTTCCGCTTTGGATTGCCACATTGGTGCGTTCCGTCGTAGATTTCCGGTACCGGTCTCGTCGATGACGTGTTGAGTGCGGCGAAAAATCCATCCTGGACGTCTACCTATGGACATGACATTGGTTAGAGTAGTGTATACACTACGATACCCAGTGGCCCGACAGGAGTGGATTTTGGTGGGATGCTCACTTAAACTTTATGCGCTAGATTTCTACCCCTTATATGCAGAGTTCGAATGGTGTACATGTAGTATTGAACGACGCATCCGCAATTGCAGAACCAGACGGGTTGCTACATGTAACTTGTTGCCGTACGTACAAGCCCGTACATACGTGCATTGTCCATACATACATACATAATGGCAGGCCTTCTTCGTTAGTATATTTTCCCGCTCATAGCTTTTTGGCTGTAGTTTTTCTCTTTTTTTGTTTTGCTCTGGCACTTCTGCAAACGAAGTTCACTTTCTGACACCGTCCGTGCTGATATACTAGGGGTATGTGTGCTGACGGGACCTCTGTGCTCGCGCCAGGTCCGGCCAAGTCTGGTCTGGGTAGGTAGCTGATCGGCTGCGTTGAGGGTTGTGTGTGCTGATGGAACCTCTGTGATCGTGCCAGGTCCAGCCAAGCGTGGTCTGAGCAGGCAGCTGATCGGTTGAGGGGTGTGTGTGCTGACGGGACCTCTGTGCTCGCGCCAGGTCCGGCCAAGTCTGGTCTGAGCAGGCAGCTGATCGGCTTAGGGGTGTGTGTGCTGACGGGACCTCTGTGATCGTGCCAGGTTCAGCCAAGCCTGGTCTGAGCAGGCAGCTGATCGGTTGAGGGGTGTGTGTGCTGACGGGACCTCTGTGCTCGCGCCAGGTCCGGCCAAGTCTGGTCTGAGCAGGCAGCTGATCGGCTTAGGGGTGTGTGTGCTGACGGGACCTCTGTGGTCGTGCCAGGTCCGGCCAAGTCTGGTCTGAGCAGGCAGCTGATCGGCTGCGCTGAGGGGTGCGTGTGTGTGCTGACGGGACCTCTGTGCTCGCGCCAGGTCTGGCCAAGTCTGGTCTGATCAGGCAGCTGATCGGCTGCGCTGAGGGGTGTGCGTGTGTGCTGACGGGACCTCTGTGCTCACGCCAGGTCCGGCCAAGCCTAGTCTGAGCAGGCGGATGATCGGCTGAGGGGTGTGTGTGTGTGCTGACGGGACCTCTGTGCTCACGCCAGGTCCGGCCAAGTCTGGTCTGAGCAGGCAGCTGATCGGCTCGCCTCGCCAGCTGGAGAGCGCCGTGCCCACTAGCAAGAACCCGCACGGCGTCTGGGTGTGATGGAACCGCCCGAGGGCTCCGCTCTGGCTCTGGGCCTGATCCGCCAGCCTGAGAACCCCACCCGGACGCCGGGACGTGATTAAGGAAAGGAAACAGAGGCTGTCGGCGCTGGCCAACGTCAGGGCGCTGCTGCGTATTTTCTTGACCGCTCCGTCGAGGTGTCGGCTGTCGCTGCTGCTGCTGCTGCGTTAACATAGGTTCATGCCAATGGTGTTGCTGCCATGTTCGCATAAATGGCAATTTGCTGCTGTTGAACATAGGTCCATGCCAATGGTGGTGCTGCTATATTCGCATAAATAACACTTTGCTGCTGTTCATTATTCTCTATCACTACTGGACATTGTCTGATGTGTATATACATGGCAGGACTACCGCATCAACGCCCAAGCTGCGGTTCTGTCATATGCGAGGCGTTAGTGGCGTGGGGCAGAAATCTGCTGCCTGTCGCCTGGCTTCACCCAGACTGGCCCAGGTCCTGCCGCTCGCGACGTGCACAATCCAATGTCTCGCTTCTAACGCTGCTTCGCTCACGTGACTTGCATGGCTTCTACTCCCGCTTTATCTGACATCACCAAACCAGGCTGTCTTGAACTGTCTCGTCCAGTTCGTGAACCTAGTACAATAATGCCTTGTTTTTTTCTTGCCCATTGTTTTCAGTTCATTGTCGGTTGGTATTTTGTTTGTACTATCTCGTTTACCTTTCTTTTATACGTACCACTAACAGTTTGCCCCCATCCCAATAGTGTCCCGAACGTGATCAGTTACCAGATATACATATTATAGCGTTGTTGCAGCCAGATGTAACTATTCACATAGGTCTGAATAATCATGCAGGTAGAGCACTTTTTATTTTTTCCAGTCTATCGTTGTATAGTTGCTTTATCATGCGATTTTTTTTAGTCTACTTGAATTGTGTGCCACGCGGAACTAGTATTGCATGAGAAACTACGAACAAACCATGTCATGTATTGTGTTTGAATTCAGGGTTTGTTTTAGAAATTGCACGTGCGTAGTGTGTTTATTTTAGTTTTTGCTCCATGTATATTTTTCCTGGCGTGTGCCATATTGCAGGGTCCGACCCGGCCTTCCAGCTGTTTGTCAGTGCCGTGTTGACGACTGCGTTGTGTACGCTCCTGTGTGCCGCGCCAGCATTGCGGATTGATTAATAGCTCATGGGACAGTATGCCCATGATTTCATAGAGGAAGATAATCAAACTCGGCCGTTGCTGTGGATTTCCCGCTGGTATGCGAGCGGGCCGGTCCGGCGCAAGCAAGGCCCGGCCGGGCTGTTTACTCGCGCCGGTACAGACTGACATCTGGACATGAGCCGCGTCTTACCGCAGATAATACACGAAGGAAAGTGAGTGGTCAGTCTCGGGGGGGGGGGGGGGAGGGGGAGGGGGGTAACAGATGATCGACAGGTCGCATTGTGGTGTGTAACAGGCGACCAACCGCCAGATGAGATGCGAAGATGTCCTGCCGGTCTCCTTTGGACGGCCTTAGTCCGGCTAGTGGGATGGCGTGCGGGAGCCCAGTGCCCATTGGGATACCTCAAGATCTTTCTTTCCGTGGGCACGTGCTGCCAGCTAAAACGGCCTCGATGTCACCGGGCGCTCTGGTGTCTTCGAAATGCAAGCTCATGGTCGCGGTGCGAGACGACATCCTCAATGCGCTTCACTTGAAAGTGCGCTCAGAGGGTACCGCGAAATCATACCACAGCAATCGTGTAATTTCATATAATGCCGGATCACATACCGTGTGTGACTGGTACCGTTGCCTTTTGGAAGCAAGACGCTGAATGCTGCCTCTTCGCGTGAAACGCTTGTGGCGGTCAGGAAGTATTGTATTAATCTCTACGAGACGTGTTCATGCAGGAACTACAGCCCATGACACTCGCCACTGCTTTGGAAATGGCTGCTCCGCTTGGCGTTCTATGAACAAAACTCACACCCCGATTCTTCGGTTCGTACACATGTCTTTTACGGAGCATGCAGCTATAGGGCGCGACGGCCCGTCCGAGACCGCTGCAGGTATTAATAGACATCTACAGAGAGAGGACGTACGGTCCTGCACGTACGCGCCCTTGGAACGTCTGGTTACCAATAGGGAGCCGCCGGCACGCTCAGCAGCTGCTATCGGCTCGGACGGAGGAGACGACTGAACCACAACCAAGTCGACTACGCGCTACAGCACGCCAACACCCGTACATCGGTTCACAAACAGCGGGCAGCTAAACGGAGGTCTTAGTTGTCCGAGAGCCGCGGGACAGCGCGCCAGTTCACAACACTGCACGGAGCCGTTCGCTGACAAACGACAGCGTGCAACACATGAGTTAGAACCACCCATTGGTCTTCGTTCTAAGTTAGCGCTAGTTAGTGGAGACTAAGGCTCGCGGACTACAAAGTAAACGTTAGACAAAGACACGTAATATCGGCCGTAGCGAAGCCCTCTCCAAACAGAAAAAAACTATCATAAAATAACGGACTACACAACGCCATGTCTAAAGCTGCACATTCTACAAAAAAGTTCGAATACATAAACAGATCAGGTGGGCCATGACGAAGTTTTGTTCTTAAGACGCGTGCGCGCCTGTGTTCACAGTCAAATATATTGCCACGCCTTCCCCGGCCGACGGTCCCAGATGACGCCTCGCGACCGGCGACAAACCCATCGGCCGTGCCGCGTCGGCGCTGCCCACAGACCCGCCTGGCACAAGACTGGCTCGTGGCGCAGCGGGGCGCGGGAGAACGAACACCGCATGGCAGACAGCCCGCCCGATCACACGCTGGCCATCCGTTTTGTTCAGTCGGCGGAAGAGACACCTGACCTATCCATAATGTCATGAAGTCCCCGTCCTGGCCTCCAAGCCCCAGCCGCTCGTCAACGCCCTGACCCGTTCACAACTCGGCGGGACCGATCCGTCCGCCGCCACCGGCCGCCACATACCGAATATTGCACGTTCCTCAACAACTGCTCTCTAAAAATGACCAGAACAGATAGCACATCACAGCCGCTAGCTGCCGCCCTCGCCTAGCCGATGCTCGCCTGTGCGGCGCGGCGCCTCAGTCGATAGGCTCGCTCCACGGGTGCGCCACGCGGCCGTACTGGATGTCCGAGAGGGCGGCGAGGAAGCGGTGCGTCAGTGACGCCTCGCCCTCGGGTGTGGGCACGTCGATGTCTTGGCCCAGGTAGCGCAGCCGTTCCACCGGGCACACGATGCACGCAGTACCGGCGCCGAACATCTCCAGCACCTGTCCAGCCAACGGAGGACGGTCAGCGCGGCCGGTGACGTCACGATGCACGCAGTACCGGCGCCGAACATCTCCAGCACCTGTCCAGCCAACGGAGGACGGTCAGCGCGGCCGGTGACGTCACGATGCACGCAGTACCGGCGCCGAACATCTCCAGCACCTGTCCAGCCAACGGAGGACGGTCAAGCGCGGCCGGTGACGTCACGATGCACGCAGTACCGGCGCCGAACATCTCCAGCACCTGTCCAGCCAACGGAGGACGGTCAGCGCGGCCGGTGACGTCACGATGCACGCAGTACCGGCGCCGAACATCTCCAGCACCTGCCCAGCCAACGGAGGACGGTCAGCGCGGCCGGTGACGTCACGATGCACGCAGTACCGGCGCCGAACATCTCCAGCACCTGTCCAGCCAACGGAGGACGGTCAGCGCGGCCGGTGACGTCACGATGCACGCAGTACCGGCGCCGAACATCTCCAGCACCTGTCCAGCCAACGGAGGACGGTCAGCGCGGCCGGTGACGTCACGATGCACGCAGTACCGGCGCCGAACATCTCCAGCACCTGTCCAGCCAACGGAGGACGGTCAGCGCGGCCGGTGACGTCACGATGCACGCAGTACCGGCGCCGAACATCTCCAGCACCTGTCCAGCCAACGGAGGACGGTCAGCGCGGCCGGTGACGTCACGATGCACGCAGTACCGGCGCCGAACATCTCCAGCACCTGTCCAGCCAACGGAGGACGGTCAGCGCGGCCGGTGACGTCACGATGCACGCAGTACCGGCGCCGAACATCTCCAGCACCTGTCCAGCCAACGGAGGACGGTCAGCGCGGCCGGTGACGTCACGATGCACGCAGTACCGGCGCCGAACATCTCCAGCACCTGTCCAGCCAACGGAGGACGGTCAGCGCGGCCGGTGACGTCACGATGCACGCAGTACCGGCGCCGAACATCTCCAGCAACCTGTCCAGCCAACGGAGGACGGTCAGCGCGGCCGGTGACGTCACGATGCACGCAGTACCGGCGCCGAACATCTCCAGCACCTGTCCAGCCAACGGAGGACGGTCAGCACGGCCGGCGACGTCACGCCAAGACGATCGTATCCGCGCAGCGGCTCGGAGCGGAATATTTCGGTTCAAACTCCACACTGAACCCGCTAGATCGTGATGATAACATACGTCGGTGCCTTCACTTCCGTCAGTTGAATACCCCCGCCGTCCTTGCCATCACTGCTCCCTCCTGGAGCACGGTAGCGGATCGGGGGGGGGGGAGATATCGGTTCAAAGTCTAAACTAAACTCACTAGAACGCGATGATCGCAGACGTCGGTCTCCTCACTTCCATCAGTTAAATACCCCCCCCCCCCCCCCCTCCTTCGTCTTTACCACCGCTGCTCCCTCTTGCAGCGCGACAATCCCACTGTTCCATATTGCAAGTATGCCACTTAGCCCACTGCTGGTTTAAGAGCGGCCCAGAGCTGTCGACGACGACGCTGATTCGGTGTTTTCGGGAGCAACGACTGTGTGTGGTTATGCACTACAGTCAACCGAGTACGCTTGGTGCCCACCAACGTCGGTCCAGCATCATGCCAACGACGTTCTACTCTGTTCGTGTAATCCCCGTACCACCCACGCATCGCTCGGCCCGTTGTCCTTCGTCCTTTGTCCTCGTCCTCTTCCTCGTCCTCTTCCTCGTCCTCGTCCTCGTCCTCAACCCACTCTCGCCGTCGCCTTCGCCTTCGCTCTCTCCCGCTCCCGCTCCCCCCCTCTCTCTCTCGCGCTCTCGCTCTCACTCTCCCCTCCTCCGGCACTGACCCGTCCTTCGGCGGCGGCGCGCGTGAACTCGGCCATGGTGAGCCGACGCTCGGAGACGGCGAACTCTCCCCACAGGCGCGCCAGGTCCAGGATGCTGCGCCGCGTCACGCCCGGCAGGATGATGCCGTCCAGCGGCGGCGTCACCAGCTCCCGCTCGCCCGACTCGTTCAGCAGGAAGCAGAAGATGTTCATAGTGCCCACCTCGGTGATCTGGTGGTCTTCGCCGTACAGCCACATGACCTGCTGCAGCCCCTCCTTCTCGGCCACTTTCTGCGCGCAGAGGGTTAGGTCAGAGGGTGGAGACGGCGATGGCTGGGACGGCGGGACACGATGCTCGCCGACAAGTGCTGGCGGTTACCCCAGTCATCAGCAATTGGCGAGTGCACTGAAACGCACAGACCACGCATACAAACCCTTGTGGGATTGTCAAGATACACTGTGTACGATGATCAAGACCGTCATTATCACAAATCGCGTGACATAAAGCAGTGCACAGAACTTTCCACGGGTAAAGCATCTGGTGGCGATCCACAAAAGGAAGACTTTTGAGGCGATGGCAGGAGTGAGAAAGGGAGTTGTCAACGCAGTACATCCCAAATCCATACACTGGGAAACGCTTGACAGTTTATACATATATTGTGATTTGGCTCTGCAGAAAAGATTCCAGTACAAATTGGGACTCCCACGGTTTCAGTTTGCTTGTTACGATATGGGGTATTCAGCGTCCCATTCCGCCAAGAGCTTGCGCTTATGCAGCCGACAATCGGTTTGTCACCAGGTATGGGATGCTGTGGTACCCATTCGCTGGGCACAGGTTCGGTGTGGAGTGTCCTTGGTGCATAAAGACTTGGTTCCAGCCAAGCGGCGACCCATGGGCCGACCCAGCCCGCTGATCGATTGGGGAAGAACGGGGTGGGGAGGACCTATGCGAAAATGCATGCGCGTGGTTTCGAGCCATGGATTTTGGATACATACATTAATTTCGTTAACCACTCGGACCTGATTACAGATCCGTATAGGCGTTGAACTAGTGGCATCAGCTAAATTTATATCATTTCTTTGTCTTGATAGTGCTGCGATGCCACTAACCCAGTGCTATCATTCGACGTCAATAGTCCTGAGGTTTCACTGGAGTACGTTTTTGAAATATGCCCCAAAGATGGGACACTCTTTAAGGGCCTTCCAAATAGTGCAAGCGTGCGTTGAAGTGATAAAATGTAGATCTGATGAATTAATATCATTGTGGAGCGTGACAGAACAGATGATGAAGGCGTAAGCCGAATGCCGCTACGAAAATTGAAGTCCATTTGTGGTATTTGTGAGGTGTATACGTGTATTTTATATAAAGAACAGCTAGACAAGACTAGAGGCGAGGACTAGATCGATAGCATATGCGTTGAAGGAAAGGGCGAGGGATGCGAGAATGGGCGAAGGACGGCAAGATGAAGCGGAAGGGGTGTGGAAAAGAGCAAGATGAAGCGGGAAGGGAGTGACGGAAAGGGCGAGGGGACGCGGGAAGGGAGTGACGGAAAGGGCGAGGGGACGCGGGAAGGGAGTGACGGAAAGGGCGAGGGGATGCGGGAAGGGAATGACGGAAAGGGCGAGGGGATGCGGGAAGGGATGTGAGGAATAGTGAGGGAATGCGGGGTGTGTGGGGAGAGGATCAAATTGAACCACAAAACTGGCAGCTGGCACTGGTTCACTGGATGATGTGGATTATATTGATGCACGTCATGTGATGGTGACAAGCAACGATGCTGCTGTTCTACAGAGTTGGCAGTGTTTTTTTTTTTCAATTCGATACGCAAAGGTTAGGATACTGAGATTACTAGACGGATTCAAACCGAAAATAGATCATGGTGCCCCGCAATGAAGATTCCTGTGCTCCTTCACCCTAAAGGGCCCGGTCAGGATTTCACAGGGTGGAAGGGACAATATAGCTATGACCCTGAAATAAGGGTGGATCCCTGATTTCGTTAATGGGGAGGGGGGGCATAATATGCGGGACCTTCAGAGTTTGGGCCCCTTCACCAAAATAATTCCTGCATTCCGTCCATTAAATTTAAACTTTCTTATACACATATATATATATATATATATATATATATATATATATATATACTTTTCATACGGAAAACCATCTCACTGTGCGCAAGCCTGGAAACTTGGCGGGCCACGCATGCAAGTAAAGAGCTTGTTAATGTTATCCAGACCATGATGGATCCTGCTATTTTGAGGTGAAGTATTTCGGAGGCAACATTACAAAATACACTTAAGTTGGGTGCTTAATAAATCAAATCAAGCACGAACTTGATTCCTAGCTTATTTACGGCTAACCAGCTGGTCAAAAATTGGTCATCAGCCATCAGCATCAGCTGATGGCTGATGGCCAATGGAGAGTTTTTTTCCACCGTTATGAAGCAATACAAAACAGCCTAGCACCCACGAAAATGACATGAAAGACGCCGACGGCGCGTAACATTGCTATGCTCAACAATTACGCGTACAAATTCATCGGCACATATCCGACTGCTATTAAAGGCCATGGCGTCACGGAACGTCGTCATCCTGTGATCTCAGACTTGTCTACACGAATATATTTAGTCAGGCCTGTACGCACAAGCACGCGAAACGCCTAAGCGCTCGCAACCACACATGAGGCTTTCGGCAACAGACTAAATCCTTCTCACTTCACCAGAAGAGCCCACGACCGATGTGGAAGGTCCCGAGGCGGATGCCTTTATCAGGTAACCTAATTATATATTTATATCAGGTAACCTATTAGGTGACCTAATAACGGCATCCATTGCGAAATGCCCCTGGCGGTCGGCGAATCGTAAACCCTAATCATTATTTTTTCAGATTTAGGTCCCCGTCAATGGCGCGGGCCCCCTATAATGTCAGAACACCCACGACCTATAGGGGCAGCACCTGAGCGATCGAGTGTGCCGTGCCAGGCGAACAAAGAGACCCCGCGGACGTCAACAGTCAAGGATCCTCGGAGCAAGCGAGAAGAACCCAAGACCAATGTGGTGGGGCCCCTGAACGATTGAGAGTACCTCGGCAAGCTAACATACATAGTGCCCGGCCACAGCACAGGACCTTCTGAGCAAAGCGGAATAACCCAAGGCCAGTGGACATGAATTAATGGAACTGTGCTAGCAAAAGTGCCCGGGCAAATTACCAGAAAGGGCCCTAAAAAGAGTGACGGGTGCCCCGTAAATGAGCTCCAGGGGAGAGAGCCATATATCAATGTCGAGGGCCCTGAGCATCCAGCTCCTCAGTGTGGTACCTTACATGGGCCCCTTTGGGGCCTAAGGGGGGGGGGAGTGTGGCCACGTGCTCCCCCTTCCCACTGGATCCGCCCCTGCCTTAGAATATGAGGCCCCCAAAAACAGAGGTTCGGGGTCAGCCGTGGTGTCTTCTGGCGTGCTCTGGAGGGCGTCTTCAAAATAAAGGTTATGCGCTGTATGACGTGTTGCGGAATAAAGACATTTTGGTGTTCCTTCACCATGATACTCTGGTGGCTCCTCCAGGTCTCAGAGCCTCATGGGACTCGAGGGTACAATTCCCCCTATACATCCACCCCTGCTGTGTTCCATAGGCTGTGTGCCTATGAAAAATAAAAGTTATAAAAAAGTAAACAGGTTGTGGTGTCCGAAAATGCAAGTTTTTGGTGCCCATTCGAGGAACAGGTCGATCCGGAATTTTGTTAAGGTAAAGGCCACATAAATTAAGGTGCCCTCGTATTAAGGTGCCCTTTCAAAATCAGGGTTTTGCACTCTTTAAATGGCTGGCTTGTATAGAGCATCTGTTGAAAAAAGGCTACAATGTCATACAATAAAGGTTGTAGTGCCCCGTAGTAAAAAAGGGGGCCAACTAAACATTTTGTCAGGGTGGGAGGCAAAACAATGTTGCGCCGCTGGAACTTGGTGCCCCTAGAGAACGAATGCGTTGGCCATTGTAGCACACCCGTCCTGATAAGTGCCTCTCGATAATAAAGAATTGGGGCCATTTGTGGTGCCTCTGAAATGTGGTGGCTCTTGACAAAAAAATGTCATGTGGAACCGAAATAAGGATTTGGGTGCCCCTTCACCATATTTTGGTACCCTTTGGCCCAAGGAGGATCATGGCCCCACCTCCCCCTCTGGATCCCCACTAACTTGAACCATTTGGTGGCGGATATAAAATCACTAAATTGAAACATTGACCACTGACTTGATAATGATAAATGTTTGATCACGATATCACCAGCTTGAACCATTTCACGATGGTGAAACACATGCCTGCAATATCAGAACAAGACATGAACCTTTCCGAGCGTGGCGATGCAAAGCGCGAGTCAAGTTTCGAAAATTAGGAAAATTCGAGGTGGGTTTGAGCGTGTGATTTTTTCGACACCATTCCGCCGCTCATTTTTTGGGATATTCAATTTTTCCGTGCATCTGGCAATAACGTAAAAGCACAATTTTGCCAGCGTTAGAATTGCTACGCGTAGAAGCGAAAAACATACTGTTCCTGAGTCACCAAATGGGAGCTTATCTCAATGTCGGGAAGATCGAATGGTGGGTAGGCGCCACACAACTGCTGGGGTTTTAATTGCTATCACATTTACGGATTGCGGTTTGTTGTCAGACCCGTGAAATGTATGGCTAATTGTCATGCAACCTAAGAATCCGGCGTCAACCGTAAACAGACATCTGACGACTGAAGTGAGCACAAAAAACACGCCAGGATGAGGATTACCACCCAAATCTTCAGATTTCCGGACAATGTGATTTTGTTCCGTGACCCTAAATGCACACGACTATGACAACAGTGTTACAATGAAAGAAAACGTCAATGAATGGGCAAAACCAGCCAACACTGAGCACGTGGTTAAATGTAAACAAAAGCGCAGTTAATTGTCAACTGTGCAATGTCACCAAAAATGTATGATCACCTAACCAACACTCAACATAAATGCCCAACTGCAATCATGCCAACTTCAAAGGCGCGGTACCAGCTTGTAGCAACGTCGCTATCGGGTCTACGCATCAGTTTGATGCCTTTAGCACAGTCCCAGCAGGGACATTTCACTCGACAGGTACGAGCCACAACTCATGTTGTGGCTCGTGTTGAGTCATGTTGTGCCCTGCCCTCGGTGGCAGTGTCTGGTTTCGATAACAATTGCGCCGTAATTACGGCACATACTGGCTGCCGGAACATCAGCGGGGCGACTTCGGTCTCGATCAGAGCCACGCAGCACCGGCCACCGCCACGAGTTCGGT